ATATAAGATATGTATATTAAGCGAAAAATATCGAAATAGTCTCATGTAAATACACTTTGAGCGCTGTCTGCCACTTTATGGGCTTGTTCTATACGAACAATGCTTGAATGTCTGTTTCATCATAGGACTATACCTTTACAAGCACTACTCATCCAATACAACAATCCCAAATTTTAGGTAAACTTCATAAAGAATAACTTAGGTAAATAATTAAATCATACGTCTTTACGTACCGCAACGCAAAAAAGCTATGACTGGATGGTTATCAGAATATCACCGCCAACATGATGACAATATTGATGTTTCTGCCAGCACTACATTAAATACGACTGTCCATAGGAAAAATAATGTCCCGCTCAAGACAGGTAAATAGGTTGAATTCAGTAATAAAATATATATCCCGTATGTACTACGGACTGAACAACATGATATGATTATACAGTTGTTTAGCATATGTATTTCATGTGGGGTGCTTAAGCGCAAGGGACAGATCGCGCTGGACTTCAATTTTTCATTCCAGACGTAGCCGTGTCTGCGGGCAGTAAAGGCCTACAAATAACGAAGTTAACGTCACCTTATGACGTCAGGCAAAGGTTGAAAAATCAAGCTTTTGTGTATGGCACTGCCTTGGCGTTGGCACTGATCGGACCGTCGATCTTCCTTAGGTTTAAAAAAAATTACTGGTGTAAAATAAAAAACTTGTACTCTGCGAGTTTACGTATGAGACCTTGAAGTGTGGGTGTATCTCTGACTTACAGAACCATGTGTGTGTTGTGTATGTTGTCGACATCGATCAGTGTCATATTTAGCAGAGCAAATTTAAATACAGAGATTATGCAAAGTGAAAAAATTTTCATAAAACGAAAATTAATAATGCAGAATATTGCGCACAACTGGTATCCATACGTGAAAGCATGTAAATAATAATAATAATAATAATAATAATCTAAATAAAAAGGTTAGTATTTTTTACTATGAATGAAAAACTGTTTCATCTAAGTAGCGTTCTGTTAGTAGTTGTAATGCTACTAGTGATAGTTGTCGCTGGGTATGTATCACATCAATTCGGAGCACGGACAATTAGTTGGAGACGGTGCATTATCTGTAGATATACAATGAATAATTCATCTAGAGAAATGTAACTAG